TGGCTCCTCTTGGTTGTAGCCTGCCTATCCAGGCACTTATAAACCTGCTCTTTGGAGGCCTTGCCAAGTACTGACATTAAGCTGCGGTGGAGTGTCGTGGGGGGCCCTGTCCCTTTTTAAAGATGGGGCCAACAGTGACTGTTTTGATGAAGCTCTCTTGAGACCTCACGAGTCCTCCAGAGGCTTTCCCAAAGTGTCGCTGTGGGGCCCTGGGACACTGACCCCTCCTGGCCCTCAAAGCTGGGATCTGCCTGGGTTTCTGCCCTGCGTTCCAGCTCCCTCCTTCCTCCAGCAGCAGAATCGTATCTAGCTGGGGAGAAGACAGATGCAAATAGGAACCCAGTGATGTCTGTTAACGGAGGTGGTCAATTAGCAACCCAGGTTGGCTCCAAGTAGTCAGTGCATTACTCACCATCCCCACAGACCCATAATCTGCAGTTTTCTACGCTCTCCGCGCTCCTTCTAAAAAGTTGGACGTTTACCTTATTATTGTTTATCATTTTTATATGGCCAAGCAGGCTCTCGGTGGCCCACAACTTATGAAAAACAATAAATAACAGTAAAAATCACAGACACAGAAATTTAGAATAGAAATGCAGCACTTGCACAAGCCGCAAGCGCCCCCCCCCCAAAGTTCCCTTTGAGGCTTCCAGGCTGATGAAGGGGGGGGGGCAAAGTGACTTCCTGCAAGGGACCACTGAGGTAGGAAAACCAGGCATCAGGGCCTTACCCCTCCCCAAAATGGGAGAGAGCCAGGTGCTTCTCCCAAAGGGATGGCCTGTCCAAGTGCTCAGAGATATAGGGCTTCCTAAGCAGGGGGTTGGACTAGAAGACCTCCAAGGTCCCTTCCAACTCTGTTATTCTGAGATGCAGCCTGGCAGGCAAGCCAGCGCTAAGCAACAAAGGACTTTGAAGCCAGCATTTCAAATGGCACCTGGAAGAAGCCAACAAAGGGCCTTCAAAACGGGTCTGATGTGCGCTTGTGGGCAGGTAACTGGGAGCAGCCCCCCCCCACTGGATCTGGCACCCTCTGAAGGTTCCTGGAATCTATAATGGCAGCCCCATGTGGGGCATGTGGCCGGCGCCTGGGTGAGTGGGAACAAGGGCCCTGGGCATCGGGTTCAGCTCCTCCTGCTCTAAACAAGGCGCAGCTGGGCCAAGAGCTCCCCCCCCCCAAAGCCTCTTCCCATGGGCTGCTCCAGCACAGGCTGCTCTCCCCTTCCTGGCAGCTCTCCTAAACAGTAGAGGTTCCTGAGGTTCCCAGTTCCAGAGGCTCCAAGGCTTTTGGAGGGTGTTTGTGATCTCGCTCACCATCCTCTGCTCCTGCTCTCCTCTGAAGGCTCCTCACCATCTGTGCTCCTGCTCTCCTCTGAAGGCTCCTCGGATGAGAGGTGACTGGGGCAAAATATGGAGAAGGCAGATCTGGTCGTTTCTTTCTAGTCCCTGGGAGGTGAACTTCCTGTCTTGCTCCTACACATCGTCTTTATTGTTTTGAACATCTCTGGGAAGCTTTTGTTCCTTCACTTCGCCCCTCCCCCCATGCCTTAATTTCCCCACTGTGAGCCTCACTCTCTCTGGAGACCCCAAAGCGATGTCTTCACCCTTCCCCCCCCCCCCGCAACCAGCAGGAGGCGAGAGGTCGGTTGGGATATTCTGGGGTCACAGCTGGAGTCCCCGTTCCGGAGGGCAAAACCTCTGGTGATGAGCCCCCGTCTGCCACCGGCACCTCTGCTGCTCACGGTTCGCCCTGTGGCTTCCGCCCTCCGAGTACAAGGCGGTGTGGTCACCCTCCGTGGGAAGAGCTGGGCGCCCCTCCCGCTTGGGCTCCTTCCTGTATCTGCCGGGCCTTCACGTAGGGGAGGGAGGGAGGGAGGGAGGGGTGTTTTGTCTTCTTCCTCAAAATCTGTTCCTTTAATTTTATCTGTATCTCATCTTTATTAGGTTTTGTCGCACAGTCAGCCAGATGTTCAGAGTGGGTTTGGCGTTTTTGTCTGCCTATTATGGAGTCTTTCCTAAGACCTGGGAGAGGCAGATGTGCATATTTGGCGGCGCTGAAGGTCTTGTCTCGGGAGGTCAGCTGCCTTTTGCACTTGACTGATGGGGAGGGGCTTCTCTCTCCTCCATGCTCTGACCACCTCTTGGCCCCTTTGGGAAGAGTGGAGGGGGGGAGGGGGAGGGGAGAAGGGGATGAGCCCCCCCTGTTCCCTGCATGTCCCCAAGCAGCCATCTTCTTCTCCCCTCCCTCCTCTTTCTCCAGGAGTCCTGGCTGGTGCCCAGGAGCAGCTTCTCTGCGTCTCTGTGTGTGTAGGGGGGAGGAGAGGCTTCTGCGCCTCCTCGGGGTCCAGGCTGAGGGACAGGAGTTCTGCAGCGCAGGAGCCACCCGGGTCCCCTGCCCCAACCGAGGGTGCGAGGTAAAGGCGGGGGACGGGAGGGAAGCGGCTCCTAAGCCTCAGGAGCGAAAACAGCAAGAGCCCCTTCCCCCGAATCTCCTTCCCTTCGCACTCGCTGCTCTTCTGCAAGAACGTTGGACGCCTTTGCGCCCCCGCCCCCCTCTTTGGGGCAACGGTTCAAGGCCAAGGTAGAAGGCCAGCTGCACGAGGGGGGGCTGCTTCCTCCGGTTCCGCTGCCCCCTTCCCCACGAGCAGCCAGCAGAGACCTGGCCCCAGCCCCCCTCCGGGGTCCGGCCCTCGGCAGAGCCTCCTGCAGCTCCGGAGTAATTTCCCCCAAACTGCCGGTGCAATTACCGTGAATTACACCTTATTGATTGGACCCAGGAACAGCCGTTTAGAGCAGATTAGGTTTGGGGTGGGGGAAGGGCCGGCGTCAGCAACGTTGGTCCCTTCGTTTCAGGCAGACCCTCCCTCTCGCCTCCGGGCTTCCGTGTCCCGCAGGTGCGGATCGCCGGAGCGCAGCTGGGCCCGCCCGAGGGGGAAACGGGGGTCAGCGAAGGTCCCGGACGGTCAGCCTGAAGTCCGCGCAGAGACCTCTGACCAAGGGAGGGGAGGCGACATGCTGGGCTGGGGGCGGCCGCGGGGAGCCCAGAATCCCCCCCCCTCCGGGCTCCTTCCAAGTGGGCGGGTTGACTCCTCCCCCCTGCCACCCCGCTGTTGGGGCTACCTCTGTTCTGATCAGGCCTGGGCAAGGACAGAACGGGGGGGGGGCATCCGGGATGAACAAGAGCCAGAATCACAGCATGATTCCCACCCCAAATCCTGCGCACCCCCAAATCTTGCTTTAGACACAATTGGGGGATGGGGTGGACCCTGATTTTCCATAGCACTTCACCCAACCAACACCAGCATCAATGCCTCAGCAAAAGCTAGCCTGCTGCAGCTGACTAGCCCCCCCCCCTTCCTTCTATGCCAGGCACCTGCCTAAAACAGAAGCCCTTCCTGCTTGCTGGAATGCCCGGCGCGCCTCTGGAGCAGCAGGATCAAACTTTGGTGGCTGGAGGACCTGCAACCTCCAGGCCCCTCCCGCCCCCTGTAGAGAGGGGACTCTCCAGAGCAGGCTGGCTCCTCCACCTTGGCAACTTGAAGACTTGAACTTTGCTGGCTGAGGAATTCTGGGAGTTGAAGTCTGTAAGTCTTAAAAGTTGCCAAGGTGGAGGACCCAGCCTGCTCTGGAGAGAACTGGAAGACTCCACCTGAATCGGGTGGTTTTGAGTGTAGCCAGCTCCGGGATGAAAAACGCCTCATGTTCAGCCTGGGATCCTGCTGGCCACCAGGGCAACAACTGCCAAGTTGGCATTATGCCCCTACAGGGACTCCCTCCCCCCCCACTCCCTGCCTTCTGCATTCAGTACCCACTGAGCATATCCCAGGTCATCTTCAGAGGCCACTGTTCCTCACAGCCTCTTGACACCAACTCAAGATGTCCACAGAGTCTCTGGCCAGGATCAGCATGAAGTCGCCTCCTTGCAAGCGGTCAGAAGAATCCGGCAGCAGACAGAGCCCCCCCCCAGGCAGGCCTTCCCTGAGGCTCAGCTCACAGAGCCTCTCCCTCCCGGCCTCCCACCCAGAACCCGCCAAGGTGGTGACCCCTGGGCCGCTTCCCCCCTAATAAGGAGAACGGAGGCCCCACAGATGAGAAGGAAATGATTTATTTCACGTCCCAGGAGGACCTTGCAGGCTCACAAGGCTTGGGACTTCCAGGGGGCTGCCAGCTCCTTCCCACTTGGAGCAGGGGGAGGGAGGGCTCAGCGCCTGCAGTGTTGGGGGGTGTCCGTGTGACCCCCCCCATGGCTGTTCTGCGTGCAGCAGTGGTTGGTCAGGGAGGCCGGATGGAAAATGTCAGATACCCTGTTTGGCCCCTGGCCTATCCAGCTGCTCGGGTTGCACAGGGGAGGGGCTGGTTCCCCACCTGGGGCCGGAAATGAGCCACGGAAGTTCCTGAGCTGGAGGGCGAACAGCCTCCCCTCCACCCCTGGCAGAAGCGGCTGGAGGGGGGGGTCACAGTGGTCAGAGGGGCTGGGGGAGGGGAGGGAATGGGCAGATATCCTGAGATGAGGCCTCTCAGTCAAGGGGGGGCAGCAGCCTAGGAAATGCCCCGGCACAGGGCACAGGGGGTCCTTCTGCTACTGGAACCCTGGACCAGCTTTCTCCCAGCTCCCCCAGGGCCTCTTCCAAATGGAGTGGGGGCACGAGGGTCCCCCAGGGAGGCTGCAGGCACAGAAGGGGGCTGGCTGCTCCGGTTGCCTCTGGCTCCCCACCCACCCCCCAGCCTGCAGAGGAAGGGGGCAGGGGCAGCAGGGAGGACGGGGGAAGGGCGGCCAGGGGGAGCCTCTGTGCCTGGATCTCTGGACTGGCCAGAGCTTTTGGCCAGGAGCCCAGGGCTGGGTGCCCCCCCTGCAAGAGCCCCCAGTGAGGAGGAGCGCCTGGAGTCTTGGCAGAGACACTGCTTAACAGATCAAAACTTGTCAAAGGCCGACAATCAAGGGACAAAATCAATTTGGCAACAAAAGGCACCCCCCCCCCGCCCGCCCAGGCAGCTCTCTCCTGACACAGATCCATTTAAATGATAATTTGCCAGAGGAGCTACCTGGCACTGGTCCTTCCTCCAGGGAGGGGGACAGCCTTAATAGTGGCGGAGGAGGGGGCTTCGAGGGGCTGTGCTGGTGGTCAGGCCACCCCCCTCCCACCAAGACCCCAAGGTCCCTGGGCAGCCCCCTGGAGGAGGGCGAGGGCCCGTGGGGGGACTTGTGGGGCCCCGAGGAGCGCTGCTCCGGTGGCATTGCGTCCCCTGGCTGGGCCGGGCCTAGGTCTCCCAGCTGCCCCCCTCAGCTTGGGGCCCAGCGTAGAGTGCGGCCAGCTGCCGGAAGCGGGGGCCCCAGCCGCCGAGATAGGAGAAGTCCTGCTCAGAGCCGGTCGAGCGGGAGGCGATGGAGCTGAGGGAGGCCAGCGGGGAGTCGGCCCCCTCGAAGGCGTAGGTCTGGAAGGAGTCGTAGGGGGGCACCGAGGGGTCACCGTCCGCCTGCCCCACTTTGCGGCTGATGTAGTCTCTGAAGAGGGAGAAGTCCAGGTCTGGCGCCTGGCGCCACTGGGGCAGGGAATGCCGTTCCGAGGGCGGCGGGGGCGCCCCCTTCTCGTCCCCCCCCTTGGTCTCGCCGAACTCGTAGAGGCTGCGCAGGGCCGACATGTCGTAGGCCTGAGTGTCCTGCTCGCCCCCACCCTCATCGTTGTACTTGATGACGTTGTCGCGCATGTCCTCGTCCTCCTCGGAGGGCAGGTGCCCCTTCTGATGCCGCTTCAGGGCCAGGATCAGGAGGACCAGCACTGCAGCCGGGGGAGGGGGGACACGTGGGGAGGGAGAGAGAGGCAGGCAGTGGAAGAAGCCCCCTGGCAAGGGCCAACCCCCCCCTCCCTGCCGACTGAGGGGCTTTGGAGGGGCCCAGAGTCATCCTTGTGCCAGCCGTCTGAGAGGAGGCTGCCCCCGGGCACCTGCCCCCTCCACCAGGACCCAGAGGCAGCCCCATCTCCTCTCAGGCGGGGGGGGGGCTCAAGGGGCCCAGCCCCTCCTTCCCGGCTGACCCCTGCAGGCAGGCTCTGAAGTCTCAGAGGAAGCAGCTCTGGGGAGGGGGAGGAGCCACTTGCAGACGGGCCTCGTCCATCTCACGCCCCCTGAGCTGAGGGCACGAAACCCACCTGCACCACGTTGGGGGACTGGCCTGACTGGGGGCCACACCGGGTGCAGTAAAAAGGACCTAAGCAGCCCAAGGCAGAGGCCAGCCCCCCTGGGCCCTGGGGCTGGACAGCTGCTTCTGGCTCCGATTCCCCCCCCCCAGACTTCCCACTAGGGCTGCGGGCAAGACGTTGCTGTGCCAGCTGCAGGCCCTCCTGGCAGCACCTCATCAGCCAGGCGGCCTCCTGGGGTGTGCGGTTCAAGGGGAGGACTGTCAGAGAAGCCCGGGGTGCCTGGGGGAGGACACTCACCCACTAGGATGAGGAGGCAGACCAGCAAGGCGATGAGGGCGCCAGGGCTGAGTGAAGGGGACACCACAAAGGCAGTGGTGTTGCACGACTGGATGGTGCCGGTGTCGTCGCAGCCGCAAATTCGGACGGTGAGGGTGCCGGTGCTGCTGAGGGTTGGGGGGCCACCGTCCACCACCAGGATGGGTAGCAGAAACAGGTCCTGTTCCTGGCGATTGAAGCCCAGGTGCTGAGTGTGCAGGCCAGCCGTGTCATCTGGGGAGAGAGCAAGACCCGTGGGAGGGTGCCAGCGAGGGGCACCCTCCCTACAGCTCCCCTGAAAGCAAGTGCCGCCCACTCGGGCCCTGCCACCCAGACGCCTCTCCCTGTCCATCCCTCTGCAGAGGGCCCAGAGCTGGCTGGGTGGAAACAGGTGAGACCCCCAGAGAATTGCCCCCACACACACACACAGGCAATCCCCTGCAGAAGGAAGCAAGCTGGTGCTAAAGCTGCCCCCCCCCGCCAGCTGGAGCAGGGGTGGGGGAAGGAGGGACACAGACCCCTGGGCGCACCCTGCCCATCCTGCAGCAGGCGGGGGGGCTGCCCCCTTGGGCCAGGAACCTCAGCCAAGGAGAGAGTTTGGCAGTGGGACCAGGAGCCTGGTGGGGGAGGGGTCCTCTCCTCCGCTTGGGTTGCAACGGATGCTTTCATTTGGATTTCTGGTCTGAGAGGGTTGGGCTAGATGGCCTCAGGAGCCCTTGAGGGTTTTATGCTGTTTTCATCTTTTGGGAGTTGCCTTTCGTATATTTCCCCTCAACCCCTGGGAGGGATGAGCGAAGACTGTTGGGAGAGGAGGCCACCAGTAGATAGACCCCGCAGAGTCACCCAAGGGTTGGTGGTCACTCCAGCGGCAGCCTATATAGGAAGATGCTGGAGGACAGCCTCCCTTTCGTGACAGACCCAACTCCTCCTGCACAGGAGGGGGGGTGACGAAGCCCCCCTGGACTTCACCAGGAGAAACACGTGGGTGGAAAGTACACCGAGTCCCAGACGGCGGGCCCCACCTGCCCTGAGGAGCCGAGCAGTCCGAAAGGCTCCTTTGACTGTCCGAATGACACGGCTACATTAAAGCCTTTGGGACCTCTAGTTGCTGATGTTGCTGGATAGGAAAAGCAAATCCGAAGACAGAATTACCGTGGAAACACGGGAATTAAGAAGCACAAAGACGGGAAAGCCCCACCCAGAGAGAGACGAAATGAAATGACTACCAAGTACATCTCAGGCATCAGCAAATTGAGACGGACTCGCACCAGGCACGTTGGGTCAAAGGACACCATCCCTTATTACTCGGGACACAAAGAACAAAGCAGGCCCAGCGCCGCTTTTACCACCAGGAAGGGTGTAGCGAGAACTGATCTTGGCCACAATGCAATCAAGGACCAAATAATGTCGATTAGACCGTGGACAATCCTTTAATTTGACATTCAAGTTTATGTTCCAACCTCCGATGTGGGGGAGGAGGGAGGAGGGAGAGGGAAGAAGAGGAGGAGGAGGAGGAGGAGGAGGAGGAGGAGGAGGAGGAGGAGGAGGAGGAGGAGGAGGAGGAGGAGGAGGAGAAGAAGAAGAAGAAGAAGAAGAAGAAGAAGAAGAAGAAGAAGAAGAAGAAGAAGAAGAAGAAGAAGAAGAAGAAGAAGAAGAAGAAGAAGAAGAAGAAGAAGAAGAAGAAGAAGAAGAAGAAGAAGAAGAAGAAGAAGAAGAAGAAGAAGAAGAAGAAGAAGAAGAAGAAGAAGCTGATGGATATTATGGTCAAGCTGCATCTGAAACGGGCAGACCAGGCAAGGGGGATGGGTTGCTCCTGGTTGGGAACGGGATGCCAACGTTGGAAATGGTTGGGAGGAAAACAGATTTGGAACCCGAAGTGGGAAACTTAAATGAAATGGAAGGATGAGTTATCGGTTCCTGCCAATCTAATTATTTCTTCATTGCTAATACAGTCTCCCACCATCTCTCCGTTCATGGACACCACCAGACGGCGTAAACAGAAATCAAATCAACTGGACTACTGTTCCGGGGAGAGGGGGCTCGGCTCCAATGGCAAAGACGTGGTGGGGGGCTGGCGCAAGCTGCTCGCCTGCAGCTTCCTGAGTTGAGAGAAAGCGGCAGCAGAAGAATCAGCGACCAGTTTCCGCGATTGGATCCTCAGCATGGACGCGCTATCCCCAAGGAATTGCTTCGGGGCCCTGAGTCCCACGGCTAGGGGACCAGAGGAATGTGGGCGGAAAGCAAGTGGTTAAAGAGGCCTGTGGAAAGCGATGGCCAAAGACGAGCGAGGTGGGAGAAGCCAACGCCACACAAAGATCTCATCTAGGAGCTTAAGAAAGAACTGCAGAGCAAGAGGCCCCACCCAAAGAGGCCGGCCAAGCGGCTGTAGACAACTCCCTCCCCCCCCACATACACACACTCGCACTGACGATGTTCCCTAGTTGGGTAATGAAACGCCTGCAAGCAAACAAGTTCAGAGACACCAAGGAGACTTTACAGAGAACACAATCTATTCTAGATTAAGCATAATTTCACATGCTAGTAAAATGATGCTCAGAATCCTGCTACACAAATTAGCGCCCTACACGAAACAGGATGTGCCGGGTGTGGAAGCCGGTGTTAGAAAACACCAAGGAACAAGAGGGAGAGCAGCCGAGGCCCGCTGGATGAGGAAGAGGAAGGAAGGCCAGAGAGAAGCCCGTGGCTGCTTCATCAATTAGGGAAAGGCCAGATCGGATCATGTCAATCGTGTCAAGCTGTGGAATGCCCTCAGCAAACGTGGGACACCCCCCCCGTCCCCGTGTGTGCCCAGGATCCCAGCCCAGAGGAAGCATGGCAGAAGACAGCAGCTCCAGGCTGGCAAAGGGGTGCGATGAGGCTGCTTACCCCCCCCTATTTATCCCATCAAGAGACTTTAATCTATATCGAGAGAGGCCAGATTGAAAGAAGATGAGTGAGGCTTTAATGTGGGAGGAAGAAACATCAACATCCCACACCGTGCCGGGAACCGTCCTGGCAGTTGAGCATGAAAATGGGCTGCTGGTTCAGGCAAGGAGAGTCCAGGAGCAGGGTGCGAAACAGGACCATGGCTGAGGGCGAAGAGGAGCAGGCTCCGGACCCCAGCTGTGGCTCCAGCCTTCGAGTCGGCACTGAAGGTAAAGAAGAGGCATGGGGGGGGGGGCTTCTCATTTTCAGGATGGCCTCTGAGCAGCAAAGGAACCAGCACCAAAAGACACACTGAGACTCCTGCAGGGAAGGGCTTGGATAATATCCAGGTGCCACCAAAAGTTCTACCAAATGTTAAAACTATGCATGGAACGGTTTCCCTGCAACGCTCCCTGGAAGCAAATGTTGGAGGCTTAGAAAGAATATTGATGTTTTTGAACGATAGCGTTGGAGAAGATTCATGAGAACGCAGTGAAAACAGATAAACAGATGAGGGGACAACACCCCCACCCCACATAGTGTTTCCACTCACATTACTGACAACCAGGCTCAAAGGCTCATATTTTGGACCCCTCGGGCCCAGAAGGAAAAAGGTAGCAGAAGGTGAACACGGCTGCAGCAGTGACGGGGGCACCTTGGGGAGACTGGGGGGCCGGGCTGGGGACAGACCCTCCTCCCAGAGAAGATCCACCTACGTGGTTTGCTAACACAAACCAGATGGCACCTAATCAGTCAATTGATTTTGTATATTAGCGGCTGATTGATTTTCCGTTGGGATTTTTGTCCAGGGCTGGTCCAGAAACCTCCAGAGCAGCGAGGGAGCCAGGAGGATGGAGGGGCTCCAGAGTCGGCTGGCTTCACTCAGGGCAGACCCTGCAATTAACGCTACCTGCTCCTAGTTACTCTTGCAAATTGTGAGCTAGAAACCTTTTTGCTTTAACCGCCATTAGACAATTGTTTTCCTCTTTTGTGGGACCAGGAGCCCAGAAGCGTCATCCTCATTAACCTTCCCTGCTGAGCAACTCTCGGATGGGAGGGGAAAAGGGGGGTGCAGGGCAGTAAAACCTGCCCATCCCCCTTGGGAGTCAACTTCTGGAGACCCTCCCTGCCCTCCCCAGCTCAGGTTGGAGAAGGACCCCTGAGCTGCAAAGTGGGGACCATCAGCCGACACCATCTGGCCGCCTGCCAGTCCCAGTCCCCCCCCCCTCCCGTAAGGGAAGGGAGCCGGGCAGGGCCACATTTGCCTTCTGGGAGGCTTGGCCAGTGGGCCCTTGCGCAGGGCAAGGCCAGGTGCCAGGTGGCGTTCCCGTGGCCCCTTTCGGCTGCTGTGCAGGGCGAGATTTAAGGAAGAGCCTCCATCTGGGCTGGCATCCATCACTGTCTCATCTTGGCTCCTACAGCAATATTTATAAATCACATCTCAAAACTAGCTACAAATTTGTACAAAGAAACAGATGGGCTGTTGGCGGCAGTTTGTCACCCGTGGTATTTATGCGGTGCCTGCGACAGCGAGAGAGGGAGGGAGGGGAGCTGGGAGGGCCGAAGGGTCGTGGGGGACGGAGCCCTCTGGGGCAGCGGGAGGTGGGGGGTCAGGGAGGACCAGGCCGTGGGCAAAACCCAGGGAGACGTGGAAGATGTACAGGCAGACCTGCGGGCGGAGCAGCTCCCCAGGTGAAGCGTACCTGTGATGCCCAGCAAGGAGAAATGGCGGCTGCCGGGGGCCTCGGGGGCCAGCCTGAAGTAGAAGCGATGGCCGCTCGGCGGCTCGTCCCGGTCCACGACACTGATGGTCTGGATCAGCTACGGGAAGAAGCGTGGAGAGCTGTTGGGGGAGGCAGAAGGTGCCCCCCACCTGCACGAAGAGGGCAAGCAGGGCCAGGCCAGCCCCAGGTGCATCCCCCTCCCAGGTGCGGGCCCTGGGGGGAGGCTGCAGATGGCAAGGCAGAGGCGCCGGGAGGCCCAGGGCCAGAAGCCTGCAGCTGAGTGCCAGGGGAGGGCCCGGAGAGAAGGGCTCCCCCCACACCCCTGCCCCAGACCAAACACCACCTGCTCAGTGGGGTTGACCCTCCGCACCTCTCCTGGCTTGGCATCCTCGCAGACGGCAGCTTCGTAGGGCATGGCCAGTTCAGGCGGATTGTCATTGACGTCCAGGATGCGAATTCTGAGCACCGTCCTGGACACTTGAGTAGGATTGTCTGAACAAATGAAAACACACACACACAAACACAGCTAAGGCAGTGGACCTCAGCAGCAGCAGCCCCCACCCCACCCCCAATGCCAGGCTGGCACCCCAACCTCAGCCTCAAGAGAAGCTACCCAGTCCTTAATAAGGAGGGCTGGCCCTCAGCCGCCACCCTCACGGATCTATCGGGGCTCCTGGGTGTCCTGTACAAGCTGAGGGTTGGACTAGAAGACCTCCAGGGTTCCCTCCCACCCTTTCCTTGTACTGGCTGGCAAGAAGACCAACTGGCATTTTGCATCTGCCCCCCTTCATGCCTGGCCCCAGCTCTCGGCCTAACCAGCATGGGGCAATGCTCAGTTAGCCCCAAGCTAAAGAAGAGTTTCACACACACACACACACACACACACACACACACACACACACACATGTGGGGCTTCTGGCTTCAAGCGAGGCTGCCGGAAGCTCAGCAGGGCCAGGGAGGGCGCTGGCTGCAGGAAAGGCCTGATTAGCATGCAAGCAACACACAAAAATGCACACATTTCCCAACAGGCAGGGAAAGATCCGTCTTTAGCAGGCCACTGAGGCTCTGCCCTTCGGTATCAGCATTCTGTAATACGTTATTTCCAAAATTGTTGAGTTTTACAGCATTGCCAAAAAACAGGGAAGATCGTTACATTTCAACAATGTTCAAAACACAAAGTGCCAATTTTAGCGATAAATCCTGGATTCTTCTTCTTATTTAATTTATTTAAAGAAGTTCTTATTTAAGCCTTACTTAAAGTTCTTATTTAAATCTTAATTTTAACAACTGACAAATATATATGTATTTTGCTATCTGCAGAGTTGCCTTACAAGTGAAATGGGTGGCATACAAATTTAATAAATAGCTGCCACCCCCTTCCTGAGCCCCCTAGCTGGGCGCCCGCCTCAGGCCCATCAGCAGCTGCCTCTGAATGATGCCCCCAGGACTTCATTTGCCCCTCCTCCCACGCCCCCATGATGGATCCCAGAGAGTGGGCCCCAGGTGAGTAGGGGGGGTGCACCAGCTGCAACAAAGGAGCCTGCAGGAATGCCCCCCCCAAAGTGCGGGGGAGGGGGGGCCAGGTTCTACCAGGGCATCCCCTGCCAGCAGGTGTGCAGGAAGGTCTCCCCCCCACGGATGCAACAGAGGCCCTACAGAAAGACAGCTTTGCTCTGGGAGCGGTTGTGCCTGTGGTTGTCAGTCAGAGTAGGTGTGTGTGTGTGTGTGTGTGTGTGTGTGTGTGTGTGTAGAGATCTTGGCTGCCCACAGACCCTGGGAGAAAGCCAGTTCTCACATTCCTCGGGGTGGGGGTAACTCCCCTTCTTATGGGTTCCTGAGGAAAGCTCCCCCACCCCACTTTTGCACGGGGGGAAGGGGGAATTCCCCCTGCACCTGGCCTGGCCATGGGTCTGAGCCCTTTGGAGCCTCCTCCTGCCAACCTCTGCATTGGGGGAGGCTGCCTGGCCATGTGCACTATTGACCTGTGGGGGGGCACCTGTGCTTGCCCCCAGGCTGTGCTTCCCAGGGCTGGTACCTGCAGGCTCCCCCCATTGGTGAACACTCATCTGCTGTCTAGCTGCAGTTATTCACCGTTATTCTGATTTCCTGAATTTATTTGCATCCTGTTTTTCAGGTCACAGGACCTCTTACCTGCCCCAGGTGAATCATTCAGAATATTGAAGTCCCATAAAAATAGAAGAGTGAGCAAAAGACGCTCACCGACAATGATGGATTTCCTTTTGTGATTCATAATAGCAATAGCACTTAGACTTATATAGCGCTTCACGGTGCTTTGCAGCCCTCTCTAAGCGGTTTACAGAGTCAGCATTTGCCCCCAGCAATCTGGGTCCTCATTTTACCGACCTCGAGAGGATGGAAGGACAAGTTGACCTGGAGCCGGTGAGAGTCGAACTGCCAAACTGCTGGCAGCCGGCAGTCAGCAGAATCAGCCTGCAGAGTTGCGTTCTGACCACTGTGCCGCCACCAGAGCTCTTAACTGCCTTTAAGGGGTTCAGAATTCATGGAAACCTGGAAACAGGCTAAGAGAAGGAGCGTTTCCCCTACTTTGTTCCAGGAGGATGAAAGCCTGCTCTGCTGTCAGTCAACCATGCTGGCTAGTGAGGTGCCCAGAGAGCAGGTTGTGGGCACATCGTGAAGGGCCTGGCCCAGCGCAAAGACCCCGGTGCCAGGAGGGGAGGTGCACCCCGATGCACCTGGGAAGGTCCCAACTGCCCCCCAAGGAGGCCTCCGAGGGCTACCCAGAAGGTTCTGGGGCTTTTAAATCGGGGGTCCCCAACCCCGGGTCCCCGGACTGGCACCAGTCCACGCTATGCCATAAACCGGGCTGCGCAAGAAAGCCCGGCCTCATCTGTGGGATGCAGGCAGCACCCCAAACCAGTTCCCCCCCCCTCTGATCCACGGAAAAACCTTTCTCCACAGAGCCGGTCCCTGGTGCCCAAAAGGTTGGGGGCCACCGCTTTAAATCAATGCCTCTCTTCAGCAAGGAAGAAGCTGGCCGGGAGAGGAGGCAGCTGCTTGGAGAGTTACTGGAAGCCATAAATCTCCTTGAATGTCAAAGCTGACCATCTTCCCCTGGACCGGGAACGTCTGCCTCTAAAGCCCAGGCCTTGGTTTGCATACCTGCATCAGTTAAATGGCTCAAAGGGGCCCTTGGGGGCCAGGCAGAGGCCCCACCCTCTCTGCTGCCGTGTCTCCCCTGAAGGAGGCTGAGCCCAGCCAGGTGGGGGCCCAGGGGCTCCGAGACGAACAGCCCTTGACAATCCCCCCTCCCCTCCGGAGCCATCCAAGTCAGCCTCCATTGCAAAGTCTGGGGGAATAAATCCCGCAGATTAACCCTGGGCTGTTCCGGGGTGCCTGCCAAGCTCGCCTTCCTGTTTCAGCTCCAACAGGCTTCATGTCTTCGGGCGCAGCGAGAGGAGCTAACCTGGGTCTCGGCAGGTGTGTGGACCTCTCCGTGCAGCCCGGTCTGCACCGGGGCACCTTCAGGAAACCCCCGCTGGGCCATTCTCCCACTGGCTCTTCCTGCCCCCCGCCTGGACTCCCCAAGGAAAAGCTCTCCTTTGCCTCCAATTATATGTTGTTGGGTTTTTTTTGCCAATGGCTGAGATTTCACAAACTCCCCAAGCGGGAGAGGGGTTGACTTTCCAGAGGCGCCTTCCGTGTTAACCTCTCCTCCTGTTTTCGGCTGATGTTCACTTAATTGGCTTTATATCTGGGTCATCCAACTTGGGAGCTAATGAGCAAAAGGTGGCTTCTAACTGGACCCCCCCTGTCTCTGTAGCAGCTGGGCCTGCCCAGGTCAGCCCGCTCCCCTGGCGAGGGAGGTGCCCCCCCCCAAGAATGCACTGGGAAGGGCCAGCTTTGCAGGCAAAATGCTTAGAATCTTGAAAGGAAGGGAGGGGGAGGGAGGGAGGGAGGAAAAAATGGGGAGGGAGGGAAGGAGGGAGGGAGGGAGGGGAGGGAGGAAGGAAGGAAGGAAAAAATGGGGGAGGGAGGGATAGATGAGGGAGAAGAAACAAGGGAGGGAGGGAAGGAAGGAAGGAAGCCTGTGGGATGCTTCTTCCCCCAGCCCTAAATACTCGCCCTAGAATAGGCCAAAATGATGGTGTCAGAATCTGACTATTTAGCGCTATGTTCCTGCATCTGATCTGAAGGCTTTTTAAGGACAGGAATGATGGGAGCTGGGAGGATCCCTGTCCTCTCCTCCACTCCAAGGGCCCTTTCGAGAGAGACCGAAGCCTGCCTCTTCCTTCTGATGGCCATGACTGGTTGCAGCCCCCACCCACCCACCCCCTCAGAAAACATGCTTGCCTACCGTACCTAACATGGAGGGTCTTAGCTGAGCAATCTTGGCTCTCTGGAAGTCAGAACTGGAGAAAACAAACCACACAGGAGGGGCCCTTTGGCATCCCACCTTCCATTTTATCTCGTCTTTTCACAACGGGCAAGGAGAACTGAAGGGGACCAGCCCAGGCCCAGAGCGGATCTCCAGAAGGCAGGGGGTGCTCAGGAGGCCCTGGCACCCTCCGGAGCGTGGTGGTCCCAGGTGCGGGGGGGGAGCGTGCTGGGGGGGCGTTTGGCTGCCTTCCCCAGCTGCAGAGAGGCTCTCGTTTTGAGCCATCTTTGCAACCGTGGCTTACAGATAATGGGATTGAGCTGGTCTACTTCTCAATGTCTATGGAGGAGCGGCTTAGCAAAGAAAGCAACCTTCCGGGGGGGGGGCGGGTTCATAAGTAAAACCACAAGCAAAGCAACTTTAAAGCAAAGCTGAACTCAGAAGAAAATCGCCAAGAATTGAAGCAGCCGGGGAGGGTCTGCAGTTGTGTGCAGGCCCTGTTGCCGGTCTTCTGGGAGGAGGGGGAGGGGTCACCAACCTTGAAAGTGGAGCCGCTGCACACCAAGGATTTTCAGTCTGGTCAGTCTCTGACCTTGCCTTTCTGGAGAAGACTGTGGAGGCGGTGGGTCAGACCGTCTGCCCTGGGGAAACTCGGAGGAAACAGAGGATCTGGACCCATTTGAGTCGGCTGTCGGGCTGGGATTTAGCAGTTTAGACAGCCTGGGTCATACTTGCAGGTGACCTGTGGCCAAGCCAGGACAGTGGTGGGGTCTCCACCCAAACCCCTCGATGGCTTTTGGTACCAGTGAGCCTGGTGGTTTTCTTGCAAATAGGTGGGCGTGGAATGCTGCAAGTACATCAGATGGTTGAAGAAAAAAAAATGGCTTTGGAAGAATATCTGAAGGACAGTGATGAAGATGCACTGAAATTAGTATATCAGGAAGGCTTACTGACTACTGGAGAGACCAAACTGGCATACAGGAAAGACCAAATGAAGAACAGAATAGAGGCATGGGAAGACAAAGCACTACATGGCCAGTACATTAAAAAAGAAGAAGAAGGGAAAGCAGATAATGAGAAGACCTGGCAATGGCTAAGAGCAGGAAAATTGAAGAAAGAGACCGAGGGACTAATT